GACAATGATCCACTTTCTTGATTAAAATTGAAATTTATAAAAAATGTATTATTTGTTCTTGTTATTGAAAATTATTCAAAATTTGGGTCTGCAAAATAACACAGGTTTTCCTTATTAGCATCACAACACTAAACGAAAATCTTGAACACCAGAACTGAGTTCAACTGCAAAAATGCGAAAATTGCATATCAAGAAATGATCCGCACATTTTTTTTGTTTGGAATTGACTCAAACACAGATCCTAAAGCTAAGATATAATCAACTACCTTCTCCGGAAAACTTCACAATTGCACGTCTTAAGCGTGATAGAAAATCCATAAATAATTTGTCAAAATTTCCTTTTCAATTGTTGCAGATTACCCTCCAATAGTGACCGTATTAACGCCAACAGATTCACTGTCACTTCCAAAATACCACTTGGAAAGTGATCACGCTACCAGAATAGCTGAAGAGTTCCATCATCCTCCATGCGAATCGCGAATGAAGACTGACGCCCAGGTTTGACGGCAATCAAAGTGATATTAAATCTAAATTAGTGTGCGGAAGTGAACAGAAATCAAACACTTTTCAAGTTCCTAAGTTTGAAGTTTTGCTCCTTAAACCTCGAGTCAGTGTAGACTGTACATAGTGCCAGCTTCTATCGTGACAGTGCTTGATTGTATACAGTTAGATAATTTTTTGTTTGTTTAAATAAGGACTTTTAGAGTCGTGTTATCGTTGCCAAAATCGTGATCATCTCAGATAGAATTGTATTGTTGAGTTCAGCTTGGAAATTGATATTGATTACTTCAAATACACATGTATTTGATTGTGACATCTTAATATGCTTATTTAACATCTTAATATAATGAATGAATCATGTCCCATTCTGAACCATTCACTGAAGAGATTGTTGTTCTAAACGCCTGTGCTTGTATTAAAAATCCTAGTCATTAAAATGTAACATGCGAGCAACATTTTACGTCTTCCTACCTATACTAAATTTTGTTCTAGAGCTAAATTAGAGGTATTAAAAGAGAAACAAAAAAATCAAAATTATACGTATACAATGTGCATTGATAAATTAAGTGTAAATATGGACATACGTTGTGTGATTTTTTTGTAAATATTGTTCGATATTTTTGGTTCGCATCTTTGCCAGCTGTTTTTATTTGTAGAAAGTGAACTATTTATTTCACATAATATCGTTTTAATTTCTTGGATTACTTTTTTTGCCAAAAAAATTGAACTTTGTTTGCACGTTGTTGTACATATTTTCCCCTCATGACATCACCTTATTAATTTGACTGTGTTATATAAGTTTAAGTCTAGTTAATTTATTCATCCTAGTGTGTAATTGTTCGTTTGACATTTATTTGTAAATAGTAGTTTTAGCGGAGTTAGATTTACATGAATCAAAAAAGTGTTTACCTTCTGGTGAACAAAAACTCATCAGAAATCAGTCCAAAAAAATTAACACTCGATGATTAATCGAGAACGTAAACTTAAACTAGCAAAATGCTTCTTTTTTGTTTCGTTTTGTAGTTTTGGAAGGTTATTTTTGTATTTGAAACTTCGAGTAAATGATAAATACTCTTAGTGATCCTGTAAAAATGAATGTGAATGTAAATATCAGAGCAATTAAATAAAAATGAAATTATCTGCCAGAATTTGTGTTTTATTGGAAAGTCTGCATTTTTCACAGGGCAGAGGCGACTATTCAGTGTGAAATTTTGAAAGAAACACGTCTGAAGATGTAAGCTTGCAAGCAATAAATGTAATTGGGAAACGTTTTTGTGAAGGTCTGAAAGTTCCAGCTGGAAAACCCACCAGTTTTTTATTTTTGCGCCATCAATTTCTAGTTTTAATTAATTAATGCTTATTAAAGTTTTTGCGTTTTTGCTTGATGTTAAAAAAATTTTGAACTTTTATCTTTTATCGATTGATCCCATTTAATAAATATAATGTCGTTACGGTACTGTTTGAATCTGTTTGCTTTTTCGGTTTTTTTCTATTTTAATTGTTTTTAAGGTCCACTGATTTAGTCAATAATGTCTTTATTTTTATGTAATCCTTTCTAACTTTGATATCGACTGACAAATAATTAAATTTTTGCTTGCATATTTGCAACTTCTTTTCTCATTTTTATATTTATTTTCTTCCACTTTCGTTTTTCCATGCTTCGCTTCAGATTTCAATAAGTCCATTAAGGATTTCCACACGATACAATTAACTAAAACCAATCCTCCAACCTCCGCTTAAAGGAAAAATGCCTTTCGATTCCCCCAAAAGAAAATCTTCCTCTGGGGTTTGTCTTAATCTGCTTGACCGATCGTCATCGAGGGTTGGGGTCCCTTAAGAGATCGGAACTTGTTCGAAAGAGTTTTTCTGTTGCGAACATTCTCTTGCAGGTGATGATCGACAAACATGCACATACAGGGAAAATCAGGGAAATCTTTATTTTAAGAATTGTCTGGTGTTCAAGAGACGTTTCATTTTATTAGATTCGATTGCGTAAATCAGAATATTACAGTTGCGGTTTAACCTGGACAATGAAGCAATATCGTCAATTCTCAGACGATGGGTTTTAACGTTATCCGCCTGTAATTGGGTACTTAGCCTTAAGGGCTCGTTTAACTGCATGCATATTGCGCCTAAAGCTCAATGTGATCGGTTCACGTTTACCCCTGGTAATTTGGAATTTGGCCCAGCCCAAATTGAACTATTATAATCATTGGAAATATAGTCCATGTGTAGCAGCAGGATCCTTAAGGAATACGTTTACTGAAGAGATTGATATTTTTCGATCTAAAGAGCTAAGTTGAAGTCCGCTTGAAATCCGGTTGCAGAATTTTCAACCGACATAAACCATCGAATTTAGTTAGTAGATTTTGATATTTTTTCTTTCCTAGGTTTCAGTCAAAATGTGAATCAAAAATGTTCATATAGTTTATTTCATATTACGTTTCGGCGAGACAAGAGCGCCCTCATCAGATTTAAAATTCAAAACAAACTACAAACACCAATTTACAATTAAAATGATTGTAGTTTGTTTTGAATTTTAAATCTGATGATGGCGCTGTTGTCTCGCCGAAACGTAATATGAAATAAACGAAATGAACATTTGTATTTTACATGTTGACTGAAATCCAGGAAAGAAAAAATATAACAATTACACGCAGTCAGGAAAATAAATCAAAATTAGTTAGTAGATAATAATGATTGGAATATTAATATGAAATGGCCATATTTTCAGTCAAAAGTTAATTAAAAAATAAAAGGCCATGGAGTAATTAAATTCACCCTTAATTGGGCACACTTAATCAATAGTAATTATCCATATAAAGTACATTAAAGGACAATGAGGATGAAAAATCGCTCCTGTTATTATTATGCAAATCGGATTTGTAGCATAAATTCAACTTGATGCCATAATTCAAGGTGCGAAAAACAGCCTCTAGCTTATGAGATAAATTCGATAAATCAACCGTACATTGTTGTTAAAACCATGCAGAAAATGCTGAAATATGTAAGGCGATGTGTGGCTTTTATTTCAGGGAAAATGAGATTGTAAATAGTCGCATTTAATGGCATTAACGTGTTGTTGGAACTGTTTTTAATGCAGCATGCACTTTGGAAAAGCCATATTTTGAATAGTTGATAAAATAATGAGTAAAAGGAAATTTCAATTCGGTAATTAAGGGATTTTTGAAAAGCAACCTGATGTCAAGGTTCCTTTTCCAACATCTTCAATAAATTAATGTCCATTTAAAAAGCCCAGTCTCTAAATAAAACAGGTTCTCTTAACGAAAACTGATTTGAATTGAAACTTGCAAAATCGTCTGCTTGCTGTAACTGTTAATAGAAAAACTCATTACGCTGAGTTTCATCAAACTGGATATATTTTCCGACTAATTAGCTGATTGTTCCTGTTGCCCCCCAGGACCATCTGGCTCATTAAATCCTCCGCCTTCCTCTTTATGGTTATGGAGCCGCATCCGCTTCCCATACCTCACTTATGGCTTTTCTGTATTAGAAGGGAGAACTAATATGCAACGTGTGGACAAATTAACTCTGCAAATGGCCGATTACTGCTAATTTACGGCGACACCATCAGATAATTGAAACTAAACAGATAAATTTGTTCCCAGTTTTATTAGATTTGTTTTCAGTTTGTTTGTCTCGCTGTTTCTTTCTTCTGATTTTTTTGAGTACCATCTACCAATTATATATAGATCTTTATAGGGAAATCAGACCATCAGAATGACTTTCAGAATGAACCCGAAGAAAGATTATCTTTAACCCGTTAAGGAGCCGTAGTTTTGAACTTAAAAAAATTGCCTTGTCCTTGTGATGTTTTTTTAACAAAAGAAAAATCTGACTGTTAAACAATGTTAAGCAATTTGGGTTTTTTGTATAATTATACACTCGAAAAATATAAAAGCAGCTCTCTTAAGAGTTCATCACGTTGATAAACAGATTTAATTAAAACCCGGAGATCTTCACTAACTTGAATCATTTCGTCAAGTGCTTTTACCACTAGAGTTGTTTGCTGTTTACCTGTAGAGGTGCTTGAAAACGAGATAAAATAAACAACGTCTTATAAATAGTTTCAAATGTAAGAAATAAGCAATAAAGTCCGTTGATAGCTTATTAAACAGGCTGACGAGCATAATCGTCACTTGTTTGCTTAATGTTTAACACTCCGGAATAAGACAATAACATAGCAGGCATTCTGGTTGATAATCGTCGTTCGGAATCGGTGCGAATGCGGTTTGTAGTACGGGCAAGAAAAATGTAGTTTGACTCCAAAAGATCCAGCAGATTCACCGAGAAATACAGCAAATTATTAGAGCACTATGACTATTAAATTAGCACACGGAAGACAAATATGCCAAAAAAGCAACTAAAATTATCCCAATTTTAAACAATGTTCTGAGGAAATCTACAGCAGAAAGTTCCACGAATAATTTAAAATGAAAACAGTAACTACATGAAACTCATGAAAAGGATGGGTTTGCACGTGTGAAAAATTCTCCATCTTTTAAAAAGATTAGGAAAGGTATTTAAAAGTTCCCATTCAATGCTCAAACTCTGCTGTCATAGCGCCAGACTATCTATAGACACTAAAAAAAGTTAACTGACGATTTTAAAAACGCAATCACATAATTTTTAATCACTATCAAGTATGGATGAGTGGCATTCTTTGTTCTTCATTACGCACCTGGGACGAACCTGATTAGGAATTAAACGAGCTCGTTTGCAGCGCATTATTTCTTTCTCGCAATCGAGAACAGTACTTATAATCCGCGCTCTTTGTTTATTATTTATATCTAAAAGACCTTTTCCGAATATATTTAGTTTTATATTGTTTTTCTCCGAAATCCGGCTCGTAAAACAGTTTATTGATGGGACTAGTTAAAATGCTGAGGAGAGTCCAAGGTTTTACGACAATCGTTTCCGAATAAACTCTAAAGGATGAATTGAAATTACATATTTTCAACTTTTATAGAATGCTTTTTATAAACACTTTCTTGGATGAATTGATTAATCAATAGAATTTTTTGTAATCAGTTTTGCACAGCTTTTTGTTATGGAAAACAATTAAATTGAAAATAGTGCAGTTAAGAACTAATTTTTTACTTTAGAAACGGAGAATCATAAAATAACTACAACATCTCTTGAAATTGAATTTGAATTTGAATTTGAAAAAACGATAATCTTCTGTTTTGAGTCTAATTGACCATCTTTGCATAAGTTTTCCCAAACAATCAACAAGAAAACGATATCTTCGCACATATCCGATGGACCAACTTAATCGAAATAGGGGAAACGTCCAAGGGGACTCCCGAAAAATATTTGCTCTAGACAGGGGTGCGAATAAAAGGATCAGATTGACCGGAAGGGCATCAAAGATAAAGTTTTATTGGCTTTGGAACCTAATAGTAATGCGGTTTAGAGGAAAATTCTGTTCATGATTGCATTGAGCAATACCTGATTAATTACAGCAAATAAGAATTTAAAAAAAGTTGGACTTCCATCGCTGCCAACTGTATAATTATCCGCAACTGTTCACTATCTAGGTCAGCGTGCTATTTATGACTGAAACTGGAGTTTTAATTTAAAATTCCGAGTAAAGTCAAACAAGAGATGCTTAGCGAAGAAGGGTGAAAAAAGCCCCCCGATGCAGTCGAAGGTAAGACTTATGAAATCGATAAATCAGGAATCATGAATAATAGATTGTTCTCATCCAGCGACTTCGAGTCCTTAATAAATATTACCCTTTCTTGGCAAAAAGCAGAAAGAAACCTTGGCGGACTACAATTTGAATCTTTTTAATTAAAAATGCTGAAATCTTTTAAAAGACGTCACAGTCATTTACTCGAGCTTCGGTTGGTTTTTCTTCTCCTTTTGCTACCCGAGAAAACGAGGTCGCATTCCGAAATAAAATAAAAAGTACGAGTCGGCATATTCGCGCTTTTTTCTATGTGAAGGTATTCGCCTAGTTTCGATTAAGTTTTTACCAGGGATATGAAAAGCGTTTCAGTAATAGAAACTCAAAGAGAACTTGTTACTGGCAAAACTGCACCAACTCAAATTTATTGTGGGATTTGCATAATTTATCGGCAGCAGCTTTAAATTTCAATCGAACTTTATAGTCAATTACGAA